ATTGTGTTGTACTTTACAAAGTATTACATACAAAATTCATATATATATATATATATATATATAAGGGCTGTCAAACGATTAACATTTTTAATCAGATTAATCACAGCTTAAAAATGAATTAATCATGATTCATCACCATTCGAACTATGTCCAAAATATGCCATTTCTTTATGTATATTGTTGTGGGAATGGAAAGATAAATGAAAGAAGGCGGATATATCCATTTAACATACAGTATGTATGTATGTTTATCTTGATTCTGATTGGCCAGAACACATTATCAAAGATGTTCTATTGAGAAGATGATCACTACGTGACAAAAGTTTTCAAAACCGTTTCTGGTCTTCGGTATTTCCAGACAAGTGACTACTGAAGTCAATCTTACTAACTGCTGTCTGTGCAATTTTACTCGGCGCGAGTTGGCGGACTTTATTTTGCTTACTTTAATATAATTTTTCATGGTGGGGCTAAGCCATTTCTTGGTATGGCTGTACCCCAGTGCTGCCACTGGTGGGATGTATGGGGCGGGCCATTCTGCACATGCGTTAAATGCGTTAAATATTTTAACGCAATTAATTCAAAAAACTAATTACCGCCGTTAACGCGACAATTTTGACAGCATTAATATATATATATATATATATATATATATATATATATATATATACACATATACATATACATATGCGTATAGTATATATGAATACTTAAATGAAAAAGTTTTGGATAAATATATAAAAAGCATGGAGCCTAATGTCTTTTACTTCTTTTATGATGGAGGTCTATCCTGAACAAAGCCAGCAGCATGGTATTAGCCCAGTGAGCGGAGCAGATGAAGAGGGGAAGGACTCAGAGGACTGCAGCCTTCACAGGCACGCTCTGATGAGATATTTAATTTAGGATACATTGGCACAAAAGCAGCCAGGGTGCGTATGAAAGGGTTCAACATATTAGAACCAGGTGGGCAGTTGAGAAGAAATGGAAAACAGACGTGAGAAAGATGGGTTGATGGACAGAATAAACAGGGTACAGCATGGGGCCTTGGACAGAGAGAGACTGGAGTACAGAGGCAGAGAGATCACAGAGACTCACGGCATGCTGCCAGACAGCTGCTTCACAGCCGTACAGTCGTAGAAGGTGAAATCCCTCGATGTGACCGTGACGTCGCCAAAGCGAAGAGACAGAGGGACGGTGACAAAGTCTGCAGAGAACCAAACACAGAGATGAAGACGGCATGAGGAAGAGCTGGAAACAACACAGAGCAACATGGAGCTTCACCTCAGCCAATGGGGCTCGGGAAATATTTGGCCAATTTAACATCTCTGATTCAGAAAGTCCCAGATAAGCACGATGTTTCTGTAACACGGGAGAGAAGGTGGGAGAAGGACCGGCCTAATAGAAGCCATGTGCAGCACACAGAAGCATGGATGAATGATGGAATAGTGAATGTACTGTAGGTCTTGTTTTCATAGTTACAACAATATTGTGCTCCTTGATTACATTTCTGAGGTCATGGAACAGGAACACATTACGATATTAAACAGTCAGGTGATCAGACAGAACAGCAGGAATCCAGATAATGTCAATTCATTTAGGAGATAAAACTATAAATACACCCAAACTGTTGGCAACAGTTCCTCATCCGCTAGTGTAGGAAGAGAAAGTGGAAGCAGGAAGTTGTTTTTTAAAACTAAGATTATTGTTTACAACAGTTTGGGTCATTTTACAATTAGCATCTTACAAATAAGACCATTTAAATTCCAACTAATTGGTCTGTATGGTTGTGTTTCTCAGAGGCGTGCTTACAGCATAGTGATTTCAGTTATTGGCAATAATATGAATGATGACTCAAAGTACAGAAATAAGAAGCTGTATGAAAACAGAAAATGTACACATGCCAGACACAACATACAGTAGCCCAGTGCTCCTGTTGCTGCTTAACACGCTTTTAATTGCATTTTAATATTACAGCCATGTGGTCCATTTTCATTATAGAAACATTAATGAGTGCATTTTTAATCTTCCAGGCCGTTTTGTCCTGTGGATGGAGGAAAGCCCCCGCTGAAGAGAATTTGGATTATCTAATAATGTTAGTGAGATTGCTTCATAGCAGCCATAATCTGAGATTTTGACCCACAGCAATATCGGGCCTATTTACGGACACTTGAAAGTGAAGGGACATGGATAATGTATTTTCAATAAGCACTTTTGTATTTTTCTATAGTTTATGAACCTGAAAAACTGATACACTGTATGTTAATGTGCAATAGCATGTGAAGTTATGGTTTCAGTGAGTAAAGCTCACACAGAGGGCAGCACAGGGGACCTATTGGTGAATTGCAGAAGAGGTAAAGGCATCATGTAGTAGACCGAGCCCACAGTTGGCAGACACGTAGCAGAGATATGCTTGTGTTTCTGTATTTTTAGAACAGAACAAAGTTAAAGCAATGTATCTTTAACTTATGCACGCCTGGAAGCCGCTTTTGTTTCCAGGTGTGCAACAATGTTTTGCCTATTTAAAAGTGTTTAAAACATTTGCTGCTAGAGGATGAGGACCCAGTCCAAAACATTTAGAACTTGTGAGAGAGAAACATCAGCAGCGAGGTGAGAGTCTGATCTTCATCTGTAGAGGAACTGCTTCCTTTACAGGGCTTCAGTCCTTTTCTTTCCCAGTGAGCGCTGGCACTAACTTTCTTAAGTTAAGGTAAGCCACAGCAAGATCCTTAAATTCAGCCTGTGTGACCATATCTCAGTATACCCCCCCGGGCTGATTCTCCCTGAGCCCCGCACCCTGAGAACCACAACAAGCTGTGAGTTTCAGGAATGCAGGCATGGGAACCAGCGTCTGGGGGTGTGTTTGTGTTTGTGTGTGTGTGTGTGTGTGTGTGTGTGTGTGTGTGTGTGTGTGTGTGTGTGTGTGTGTGTGTGTCGTGTGAATGTTTGGGTGATTGTGACCTCTGTAGAGACTTCAATTTTTATTTACAAGCCCCTAAATCTTCTTTAATCTTTGCCGCTGACTTACTATAACAGACAGCACACTAAACAATCTCTGAAACTTAGGAAAACTAAATCACATATGAAAGCATAAAGGATGAATTAGATTTATGGAGACTTGTACGCTTTAAAGTACACACTTCCTGCTGAGTAAGCTGGTTTAGGAACAAAGGGATTGGGTTAACCTAGATTCATGGACACTGAGATTGAATTTATACGCGTACGGTATGTCTGTGCATGCCAACACACACGCAGAGATTTATCTCATTACAGGAAAAACCCTTCAGTCGCAAAGGTGAAAAGTTTGAAAAAGCAGTAATTAAACTGCAGCTTGATCTTCTCTGTTCCAGAAACAACAACAGTCAGGGTTGGAGTCACTCACCCTGTCCTGCGGGGACCCTGGGCACCCGGCCTCTGTCAGGAGAATGGCAGGTGGCTCCGCCCTCAGTGACGGAGGCAGGACTGTGGCTGTTCTGGAAGAAGCAGGCGTAGCTCTCTCCTTTCTCCAACACCGGGAGTCCTGCGACGGACACTGACACCTGCAGAGACAAACAGCCACTTCAGGAACAGATACTATAAGGCCGATGAGGCCTAAAAACCCAACCCTAACTGTAGGAGCCAAAATGCTTGTTTTGCCATTGCTTATTACTTCTATTATGATTTTCATTTCTGTTTGCATCACGTTTAATTCTTATTGTTTATCACTTCCGGCAATGGTCACGTGGGTGTGGTTTATTGGTATTTAGATCACCTGTTGGATGCCGGTTTGGAGGATATGGTGTAAGAAGAGGGTAAATGGCGCTCTTTCTGTTGACCGTCAGGTCTGGAGTTCTATATTGTTTGTTTTTCGTTTTATTAAACCCCATGGACTACAAATTACTACGGACTACGCGTCACAGCAAAGATCACATGTTAGCCTCTCAGCGGCATAACTCATAGGGAGTTTGTGCCGTGACACTAACAATATATGCATCTTTCCATGACTTTTCAAAGTGCCATTCTCAATGACCATTTCTTAAGTAACAGAAAAGGAATGGGGGGGGTTCCACCTCTAACACTGGCTGGTGTCTGGCTCTAAGTTCAGGGAGAGCTTGATTTGTGAGCAGAGCATGCAGTTTAAATGCATTTTTGTAAAGACCCGGTCCACTCGTGATGTCGATAGGCAGTGACTGTGTGTGTCAGTGAGAGGGAGAGAAAGTCATAGAAGAGCAAGAAAAGTATGAAGCTCAACTTCTGGCTGAGGCTGGCTGCGTACAAAAGATTACACTATTACAACAATTTGTACTGGATATTTACGATATAGGAATCGAGACATCCTCCGTAAAGCAAGCGGCAATACTTTGAATAGATTAAATACATCGCCCAGCCGTATCATGTTGTAGACACCAAAGGTCTCAGTCAGATCCATGTATGCAGACTGTTTAAGAACCTCATGATTATCAAGTGTGCTCTCAGATCAGATATCTAGAGTTTCTTTCTGGCCTTTACCCGTGTTGTTTGAAATGACATCACAAGATCTGGGGACAGCAATGGTCTAGCAGCAGATTGGTAGACATACAGAACAACATTCCCAACTGCAACAGGCTGTTATTATGAGACAGAAATCTCTGCATTACTGAGTCTTCTTCATCTATCAATAACCTAATTAGTTATTTCCCCCCCAATTAATCATCTTGTCCGTAAAACCTCAGGAAATGATGAGAAATGCCCATCATTATTTCCTGAAGCCCAAAGTGATGTCATCAAATTGCATGTTTTGCCCACAAGTCTCCCCTAGGGGAAAGGTGACTTTATGGTAATTACAGGCAATTTGGTGCAAAAATCATGCATTCATTTAGCCTATTCTTGAAGTAGTTTATGTAAATGTATAACACAAAAAAAATCTCTGCGCCCAGCTTTCAGATTCTGAACACCACTTTCATAGTACATACACTGCTGACCTGCAGTACTCTCCTAAGATCCCCTACCCTTCCATTAAAAAACACTCAAATAGATTCAAGGGTATCTAAAACTCAATACTTATATAATATATTTGATGTTGAGTCCATAAATATAATGACTACATTTATTTTAGTATGGGGCACTTCTTTGCTGAATCTGGCTCCCTCATTAGTCTGAATTAACAAATCTCTTATATTTGCTACTAAAGCAGGGTCAAGATTTCTTTGTACCAACTTCCAGAATCTGCAACGTTAACTTCAGGACTTGAATACCATATCCATGAAAAATTACATTTGGCATAAAACCCAAACATGAAGCCTATTGAGTTTTCTGTTTATACTGTATTTACACTTCCAGGGAAAGATGTGTTCCCATATGCTGTCATTTACACCCACACAGAGTATTCATACTGAAAGTGGAAATGTTCTCTAGTAGTCTCTCCCATGATGGAACACTGTGTGTATTGTATATATGTTTGCCTCTGCTGTTATCCAAAGGCACGATCTTTCACAAACATGACTGATATTCGGCTTTTCTCCAACAGTGGGACATGACAGGACAGAGCTCTGATCACTATCTGCTCCTGATGCCCTGACACCTAACAAAGTCATGTATACACACTCTCTCACACACACACACACACACCAGCTAGGCTGATAAGGAACAATTGGAGGAGTTATGGGGCAGTGATTCATAGGCCCAATCCAAACCGCCCCTACACACTTCCAGTCCGTTGGCGTGTTCGTGTGGAGGTTCCGCCACATTAAGAGCCCTTCCGATCCAACAAGAGTTGAATAGGAGTGGGTTATCAAGCCCTCCAACAGCGAGTCTGCATTGTCCCTAGCTTCACAAAATATGTGCTTCCTCCCTGAACACCTGTGTCAGGATGTGTACAGATGGGGTGAACTATAACACTGGATCTGCTCCCCTGCTGTATCAGACTCACCGTCCTGCTCTCCTCCCGGCTGATGTTGGAGGGGTGGAGCTCCTGCACCGCCAGACACTGCTGCTCCATGTCGAAGCTCCACAGCCACTGACCCGGCTGCTGCCCCCGAGAGCACTGCGCCTGCAACACACACCTGCAGGGAGAACACACCATGTCTGTGAGCAGGCTCTCCATCTGTCTCTCACACTCTATTAAAGGCTAATAAAGTAAACTTGAAGCATGAAATCCATAAATCCTACAGTGATTGTACAGCTGCACACCAACCGGATTGTTCACACGTTTTTCTAAATAGTTAGGATTTTCTAGTTTCCACTCCTTAAACTATTTACGAAAGGAAGGTGTACAAAAATTAACATAAAAGATATACTGTGAGTACAGACTGTGTTGAAGGCAAACAGAAATTGAAAGGATGAAAGGAGAGTAAACACATCCAGGTGGGGAGGCAGGAGGAGGAGGCCAGGTGTGGAGGCAGATGTGCAAACACACTCCCAGCACACACACCTCTTTTAGGTTGACTTGGCAAAACACCATAACCGCCGCACAGAACTTTGGATTTCAGTGATATTCTTTGAACTAGCCGTGAGAGAATACATATTACTTAAAGTAAACATTACACAGAAACACAAGGAGCTCATTTGGACTTGATTTTGCATTTTAGAATTCTTAAAAACACAAACAAAAAGGCAATTCTGCTTAAAATAAAACTTTGAAGTCAAGATAAGTGTAAACAAAGCACTTCTGTACTTAAAAAAACAAGAAAAAACATTGTTTCTCTTGAATTATAATTCAAAAATAATGATTAACAATGATGCATAACGTTACTTTGTTGAGAATGTGGCCATGTAATAAGCGGGATAATGTGCAGCGACGCGGTCATTATGGGGAAAAGAACACCGACAGGCTGATCAGGAGCCCGACGCGAAGCGGAGGGATCAAGATCGGCATGAAGGTCTTGATCCCTACCGCTTCGCGTCGGGCCTCCTGATCAGCCTGGTCGGTGTTCTTTTCCCCATAATGACCGCGTCGCTGCACATTATCCCGCTTATTACATGGCCACATTCTCAACAAAGTAACGTTATGACTCCCACTATTAATTGAAATGCTTTTATGGATTTAGAAAATGATTTTATTGATTTAAAAAATAGTTGTATGTATTGATTTAAATTGACATGCATCCGCTAAGAAAATAGTCCGTTGTTACCGTTTGAACTAACGTAGCAACGGCAGGAACTGCTTCGATAGCGTTTTTGAGGAGCTTTTTGATTACAGATTTGAAAACATCGCTGCCTGCTTTAAAAGTAGCACAAATCATTATGTCAAACCTTCGAAAGTATATAGATATCCCTGCCCTAATGCCAAAGTAACTGCACACTGAATATGTGTCACCGTTTGATGTCTATGTCTGGACCGCTGCGTAAAAGGAGGGTTTTTGCCCGTTACTTCTCCGCTGTTTTCTTGTCGCTCTTGTCTTGTCAGTAAAGCAGTTTGCTTTTCAGAAAAGCAAACGGCATGCAGTTAAATCGAACGGACTTGTTTGTGCAGATGTGAGCGTCCTTAACAACGGTCAATAAGTCCTTGACAGCGGTCTGTTTGTTCGGTATTAACAACGTGTCACGTGTTCTGAATTGACCAATCAGAATCGAGTATTCAACTAAGCCATGTAATAACTTATTTGAATACATCTAGCTAGACTTGAAGGTGCTAATGATAGCTACTGTTAGCAAACCTTAGACATATATTGTGTGTGTGTGTGTGTGTGTGTGTGTGTGTGTGTGTGTGTGTGTGTGTGTGTGTGTGTGTGTGTGTGTGTGTGTGTGTGGAAAATGGCTGTGATCTGAGCAACCAAGATGTCATTTAAACGAGACTGAAACAAAACAAAAATCAGAAAGGACAGCAAGCAGCAAATCTTTCATATTCCACCAGTGTCTACTCACTGATGTGTGTTTTAATTGTTATTTTAGTCATTTGTATCTATATATTTTATGCACGCCTCTTTTTTTTTGCTGTAACAATGTAAATGTCCCCTCTGTGTGACGTATCAAGGTATTCTGGTTCAGTCAGCTTGTAAAAACTGAAATGTCTTAACTAAGACATTTGGTTCATATATTCAAGTTTTCCTTAGGCAAGGCAAGTTTATTTATATAGCACTTTTCTGTACGCGACAATTCAAAGTGCTTTACAAAACAATTTAAAAGACTTAGGAGGAAGTGTTTCATTTTGATGATGATTTTGACGTCTTTTCATCAAGAGTTATCATCGCATTTAAGATGGTAATTTTTCTAATACTTAGACTCATGAGTAAATAACTTCAGAGTTAATGCCATGGTGATCATGGTAAACTAAGCACCTGCATGCTTGTTAGCATTAGCATCCTGAGAATGTAAGCATGTTGACACAGAGCGCAGCTGCAGACTCTTGAGAAAGGACACTAGGTTACGAAATTGTCACAGATTCATTTATCATTAAGTTGATTTAAGGACGTATTAATGTTTCAGCAGTTTCTCATGATATTTGTGCCGTTGTGAAGGATCCCATGGTATATTATTTCTGTATTAGAAAATCAAAAGTATTCCTGTGTCTAAATCCAATGAGCTACTGCATTTTTTTTTTATTAGGGGGAGTATTTTACACCTTATACTTGAGTTCCAACTGCATGTCTTTTCAGCCATGCTTTATAGCACCGAATTAGGACATAAATACCGGAGTACTTTTCCCCGTACTTTTCCCGTTTAGTTCCGTTAGTGCCTGGAATTTTGCGTTCACGTTCACAACAAAAAGACAACTTACTTCTGGTTACTTTTACCCCCATTTTTTGTCCCTGCTAGAGAGGTGGTACTATCCTGGCGAGAAAAAAGTACGAATTCCGATTGGCTGGGTGGATTGCAAACCACGCCCCGTAAAAAAAAGCCGCCATTGTATTTGCTGGCATTAGCATTATTAGCATTAGCATTAGCCCTGCGCACCAACAGAGAGAGAATAACTTCTGGCAACACAACAAAAGAAACGATGGGAGCGGCTGGAAGCATGAGGAGGTGTTGGAAAGCCCTTTCCAGTAGAAGCTGCCTGGAGGTTCCCAGCAGCTTCTACTGAAGCCAGTCCCTAACTCCGGGGACTTTGGGTGGCAGTATACGCCGTGAAGTTGTTTGCGGCCGTCCAGTAAACCCAAAGCAGAAGAAGAAGAAGTGACGTCAGCGGCTTCATTTGCGTAATCTTCCCTCAGGGAACTTATTCCGGTGTGAACGCGATCGGCTCTTAGTTCCATGGGGGTACTAAGTGCTGGGCACTAAGTGCTGGGCACTAAGTACGGCAAAGTACTTGGTCTGAAAGCAGCTAAGGTAGTTTGTGGTTGCTCTCACCTGCCCTCCAGGACACACCAGCCGCAGTAGGGGTCGTGGGCCAGTAGGCAGGAGTGGCAGTCTGGGTGATGCTGGCATTCAGCCACGGGCCTCTTCTGCAGCTGGAAGCAGGACAACAAGCATGTTCAGTCGGGCAAAGCGTGCTCACTAAGCTCCCAGAAATCTGATTAAAAAGAATAGGTGGCCCACTTTTTCCACTGGAACAATGCAAAATGGAAATATGGTCATTAGACTAATCCTAACTACAGGCTGCTACTGAAAGAATAATTGGGGCAGAAACAGAAAAACGAATTCCTTCTCTTCAGCTTTGTAACGGCAATACAGAAAGGTCACATCTAGAATTTAAAACAGGAATGAAACTACAAGACTGCAACTACTGTAATGATGAAGTACCATGTTTTGAGTCATGATGAAGATATGTTCCTCTTTCTGGTCCAGGATCAGGTCTGCCCCGATGGCTGTGTTCGGCTGAATGGAGATGACTGAAAACTCCTCCACTTCTCCGTTCGGCCCCAGAAACACCTGAGGAAAAGTACACATACACACCAAGGTTCAGACTATGTGATGATACATAGGACCGCTGAGTAAACATTTGCACTAAGCTGAAACTCAAATGCCTTTTGTTATGGCATCATTTCAAACAAAAACATAATAATAGAAAGCTTATTTATTTTTCCTCCTTGCCATCTTCAACACCTTGATATCACATTTGAAAGGACATTAACGGGGGCGGCAGTAGCACAGTCTGTAGGGACTTTGCTTGGGAACCAAAGGGAACTGCCCAGGTGTCATTGAGCAATGCACCGAACTCCAAACTGCTCTCCGGCGTCAGAACACCGGCAGCCCTTTTGCTCTGCCACCTCTTCCTTAGTATTTCAGGGATTATGTGTGTAATTGTCAAATAACAGCAGATTGAAAACCTGAATTTCCCCTTGGGGACGGTTAAAGGGGATCTTAGTAAACACACATCCTAAGTAGGCTATAGTAAGAATTGTACTTGATCATGCTATGTGTTAACAAATCCATCTCTATCGCAGCTGAGGAACAGTGTGTGATATCGAAAGAAACAAGCTAATAAGTAGATGTTGAGTTAGATGTTATTATGGCATAAGTATAAGTAGTTCAATCTGAGAAAAACAGAACTCATTCAGTACTCCACTGATGTAGCACTGCACTCATTTGTACATAGCTGTGTCATATGTAAATAATGTTAATTTGTTATAATAGTCTTAAAATAGTTTTTTCAAATAGCTGACATAACAGTCCTGTTTTTATTGTATTTGGTGTTGCTAAGTATTCTTCTTTCTGTGTCTTTGTAAGCACCACATATACCAAAGCAAATTGTAAACCTACTTGATAATAAAACCAGTTCTGATTCGGCATGTTTAAATTGTTCATGTTCACACAATGGAAAGTAAAACAAAAAAAAGGATCCAAATTGATGCAGGAGAACCAGAGAGAATTCTTCTTCTATGCCAATAGCGGCTAGTGTAGCCTGGAGCTGCTAGCTACAGAAAGATCAGCAGCGAGCCAACTCCACATGTTTTTACTTTTCATACCTGTAGTAAATAATCAGTCAAGTGTTAGAACTCTGAAGATACCAACGCCTTTACAAAACTTAACACATACATACAGTTTAACTCCACGATTACCATTAACATACTTTGATGTATACAATGAATGAACACTCCATAACATAAAGAAAGATTCAGATTATTGTTCCCCAAAAAAAGGGGTTATTTTTTTCATCAACCACAAAACAAACTAGAAATGGAAGTGATGAAAGAAATATAACCAGATAAGAGGTCCTGCACAACAGGATGTTCAGACAAAGGTTGTACCAGAGGTCAGATGGTCAGAGCCAGTACACAGCAGACAGCATCAGTGAGCAGTCTGACTGGCTGTTGGACATTAAATGCTTGTTGCTGCACAAACCCCGCCTTCTTCCACCATGACACACTGAGCTGACCTCAACAAACATAATGGGATGGAGTCCTAGCTGCTCAGCACTGCATCTTAAAAGAATAGTTTTCAGACATTAGAAGGACCCTAAAAACATATTGACTCCGCAGCTTAACTTAGTTTAGCCAATCACAGTTCATCCTTTCTACAGTCAAAACTTGTTTTTTAAATATTTGTTTTAACCCACAGACATGTCTAAGAAATAATTCCCACTCCCATCTGTAAGTAAAAAAAACAAAAACCTTTGGCTGACTGTAGACTGAACATGACAAACAGTTCCCATGATTTCAAAAAAGGCTAGGTATTAAATAAACAAAAAACAATGATCCATTCGGCTCTTATCATTGAAATGTGGTTGCACACACCTTCCCATTTATACTCCTATTTTTTGGCCACTAGGGGAAGGCCCTCTGGCCTGATCCCAGGTCTGTTAGAGCGGCACAGTAACGCTTCCCGCTTGGCTGTACTGTTTCCACATATCTTGTGTGAATGTCAACAAAGCTTTGGAATGCAGACACAGATGGCAGATAAGAACTAGAAGAAGATGTTAGGTTTATTTGCCACTTGATGAAACACTGGACGCTGACCTGACAGAAGAGCCGACAGCAAGCTCTGTGATTTATTGTGAGAATGAGACCGCACACAAAGTGTAATCCAGAGAGGAACTGCTGTAGTCAGCGGGGAAATAAGTGTGACTCTCCAACAACAAGCACAGAGTACATGTGATACTCAAATACAGGGAAACAATGGCCACTGTACTCCCTTTATGTGCACTCGGGTACACATCGTGTAGAATCCAACTGTACCAAAACACGAAAGTGGACTGTTTCTAACTCAAGTAGCATTTTTCAACATCACTGCTCTTCTAAAGAATCTGCATCAGTGGCAAGCACGCTAATCTCATCCTCTGAACTCTATGGCTATGAATTATTATTTTTATATATTTTTTATAGTTTATTTCTGTGTCACTTTGATTATAACAACCACTAGAGGGCATATGCTGACTGTGAAATAAGAAAAGAAAGAAAGAGAGAAAGAAAGAAATAGAGAAAGAGAGAAAGATCATTTTACACATAGAGCACATGAGGTGGTGAGTTAGGGAGTTAACAAAGTTTGAATTGACGGTTCCTCTGAGGAGGACACACTGACAAAGGTTCCATTAATGACGGTGACATGGACACGCACACTGTGTGCTGCCATGACCCATAGCTCTGCATCATTCTCAATGAGTCTCTGTGTGAGGAAGTGCATGCGTCTGCCAGTCAGCGATGACAGTGCACATCACAAGTACGGAGCTCCGTACTCTGGCTTGGTGTTAGGCTGCCTCTGTGACGAATCTGTGTAGAAATACATTAATGGCCATCATTGTGCTATTTCTGCATGTGCAGGAGGCCTCTGCCACAGGCCACCATTGACCAAAAATGACACAAAGAGCAGACTGTGTGGAGGTGAGCTCTCAGTAAACTCCTAATTTCAAGGGGCCGACCCCGACTCACCACTTAGTCCAGGAGCTAATAATCTAAGTATATATATATATATATATATATATAAACAAGCACAACTCCTGTGTGCTTTTATGCTTCCCAACTGTTACACATGCTCAGCTGACCTCTTCTATTCTCAACATATATGTCTCTCTTTGATTGGCTCCGAGTTCCTTCTAGAGCAGGACATTCCTTGTCTCCTTCACTGAGACTCCCTCTGACCCTGCAGAGACACGGCCGTGCATGACCCCCCCGACAGCCATGTTGAGGACGATGTCATTTCAAAGGAGCTTCACATGATCCAGCCACAGAGGGGACGCTTCCAGGCTGTCCACCATGAGGGACAGACAGTATTGTTCAGCATGGGGCCAACAGGGACGCCCTGTAGAACAGGGTCAGCTTCTGTTACACAGGGAGAAGTTACAATTGACTACGTCCTGTATTCCATAATGGCACGAAACTACAAAAAAGCAATATTGTCCACTCTCACTTCCATAATGGCGGTTGGTGTCAACCAAAATCAAATTTGATAGACTTTAAAAAGACTGAATGTATTAGTACTGATTTACATTTGGTGTAACAAGGTGTCGCTTACCGGAAAAATAAAAAAAGCTTAAAGAAATATAAACCAAAAAGATGCAACATTTATATAAATAAAATAAGGTAAATATAGTGTGAGAGGTAAGTTAAGAAACTTTAGCATTCAAATATCTGCCAACAATATTTTAGTACATTTTCCTCCTAAATAGACCAAGCATTTTTAACATGCAGGTCAAGTGGCATCTAAATCCAGTGGGCTGCCATAAGCATAATTCATACAAAACATCATAAGGTAAGGGTCAAAAGAACCTTGCTACACTTAGAACACCATAGGCACTGATTGACCACGCAAGCTCTGATGTTTTTTTCAGAGGTCAATGTTCTGATCGTTGTCTGAATGTTGAATTCTTGAGTCTACCAAAATGTCAGTCAACTCTCTGCTCCTGACATTATCTCTGGCCCCCTGAGTTCCTCCTGCAAGCCTGTGCACACTGAGTCTGTTGAATGGCTCATGAATGCAGAGCAGCGTGGAGGTGACAGTGTGGAGTTCATGTGGATGTTTGCTCGGTCTGTTACCCAAATACAACTCAAACTCAAAATGCTGATAAATGCATTCATAGATCACCTTATTCGCTTTTTTACCACTCAAATTCATACACTGATCTTCAGGGGTTAAGTTGGGATTTGATATGTGGGGGGACTCTGTGTGGAGGTGCGAGAGGGGGGGCGGAGGTCGAGGGTCTCATTATTTGACCTTAAGGGATATAGCCCTACACTGTGGCCCTAAAGCAGTGGTCGCCAACCAGTCGATCGCGATCGACCGGTCGATCGCGAGTGTGGTGCGGGTAGATCGCGGACCGTTAAAAAAAAAAGTAACAAAAG